GGATGAGAAAACAAATGTTTGTACCCTCATAATACCCTGAAATAAAAAAAAAAAAAACTTCTACTGAGATATAGGGTTGATTGCAATATAAATAAAAAAAAATGATGAGAAAACAAAAGAAAGATCACCAGTTTGCTTTGTGCTGGCTCTCAATCACAGAGATAAAAATATAACTCAGCTTGAACTATTTCTGGTTAGACCATAGTAATGTTCTTTTCCATTCTGTGAGATGGTAAAACATTGACAACATAAAAGATAGATACCTTGACCTTCAGAAGGTTCATGCTTTATTAGTCAAGACATCTATATTGATTTGATAGCTAAGCCATTATATCTCTTAGCCTTAAATTCCAGTCTTCCCAATACAACTATGTTGCTTCCATCCAAGTCAGGTCAGTTGAGGGTTTGGGTGTTGCCCTGCATAGAGGCACAGGCAGGAAGCAGATGGCATCTCAGCCCCATCATCCTAGAAATCAGTAGTTAAGCATCTGAGTAGATCCGCCACTGTGACAACCCAGGAATCAATGTTCTGACCACTCCCCATTATTAAGCCCTTCGGAACAACCTTAGCAGGAGAACGAATGTCATACCCAGGTGAGACAGCAGCTGATCTCTGAGGGTGGTGTGGCCCACACACCTCACTGTGCCTGCCTCAGAGTGTGTTCTTCTATGAGAGTGACCTGAGTCATAGGGAATAGCTATTTGTAAAGTCAATGACAATACTAATGAGAGTATTTAAAATCACTAAATAGCCATTGTGTGTGCACAGCCCTATGTTGAACTAATGGAGGTAAAGAAATATAAAACCCAAGCCAACCTAAAAGATAGATACCTTGACCCTCAGAAGGTCCACACTTTATTAGTCAAGATGTCTATATTGATTTGATAGCTAAGCCATTAGATCTCCTAGCCTTAAATTCCAGTCTTCCTGATACAACTATGTTGCCTCCATCCAAGTCAGGTCAGTTGAGGGTTTGGGTGTTGCCCTGCATAGAGGCACAGGTAGGAAGAAGATGTCATCTCAGCCAGGCTGCCCAGGAATTTATCATCACATGAAGGATAAAAAAGCAAGTGGGACTGAGCTACACTGTCCTAGAAGGGCGAAGGCGATAGCGTGTATTTCAGGGAAGCACAATCTAAGTACAGAAAATAATCTAGTTCAGCTTCAGAACATTTCTGAGAGTGGATGGCAAGGCTTAAACTAGAGGTAGAGCATAAAGTCCTATTTGATGGCAGGATTTTGGACTCTTTCCCTTATTCAATGTGTGGTTCTTAACAAGACTTTGCTCATGATTTAGTGTTAATGTTTTTAGGGGGATGAGTGAGTCTTTCCTGTGTGTCATACTGGAACAGAATAGAGGAGGCCCTTTTATCCTGGCCTTGGGCTCTGCCCTTGATATGTGAGGCAGCACCTGGGTGTGAGAGAACCTGCCTCTTGTCACCCATATGGGTCCTGGGACCAGCTGATATCTAGCCACTTCTCACCTGCCTCCCTCCACATGGAGTCAGAGTGGTTCCCACCATCAGTGCCCCTCATTCTCGTAGAGCTGCCTATCTCTCAGACCTGCTTCTTAAAGTTTGGCCTCCCAAGACCTCTTTTCTTATTTCCCTGATGGTGTTCTTTGAAATACAATTCAGAGAGGTCTCTAACTGTCCTTGATGTGTCCCAGCCACCCTGGCAGATCCTGTGTGTATGCGTGTTCATGCGTGTATGTGTGTCTATACACAGTTAAAAGCCTGGATTAGGAGTCAGACACACCTGGGACAGAACACTGATTCTGTTACTTTTTAGCTGTGTGACCTCTGAAAATCCCAAATTCTCTCATTCTCTAAAGTTACCTGAACTTTAAAATGGAGATGTTAAAGATTCTTCTCCAGGGTGTTGTGAGGATTAACAGAATCATGGAAAGAAAGTGCACACCTAAGGTCCTGTAACACAGTGGACGCTCATATGAAATACCCGTCTGCCAATAATTAAAAGAGAATAATTTTTTTTTAACATCACAGCAGGTTTCCAGGTTTCTGATGTTTAAAATAGCCATTTTTCAATTAAGGTAACTTATATTTTTTCATATAAAGATAACCCTGAAGAGCAGTAAGAGAAAAGCTGCCCTGCTCTGCATGTAGAATGAGAATTTGTTTTCCACAGATTTTACTGGGGGTGGGGGCAGAGTAAAGTCGTGCCTGAGAAAACAGGAGGCAGGACAGACCATAAGACGGTCCAAGCCTGAGGCACTCTGTGGGGTGAAGGACCCCGGGGAAAAGCCTCTCTGAGTGAAGGAGACTGAAAGACTTGAAAGGATCGGAGGGCTTGAAATGCTATGGAAACTTTCAGTGTGGTTTTTTTGTTTCTCCATGGGCACAGGTTTTTGTTTTTTAACATTTTTAGGAGAGTAAGATTGACTAACACCAATCAGGTATATAACAAGTGCTCCTTCCATGTCTGGAGGATAATAATATTAAAAACTTAAGCAAATTAATTAAATGAAAGCAAATTAGATCTAGAAGTAATTACGTGAAGAAAGTTTGCCCTTCAGAAAGTGTCCAAAATAGTAATTATAGTTTAGTTGATAATACCAATATTTAGGTCATAATGGGCATACAGAATCAATATCTGGAGAAATTTATATGTTCATATGCTTTTGGGTATTTAGACTGTTAAAAATCAAGTGAATACACACACACACACACACACACACACACACAGATGGCCTTGCTAATAAACTATCTAACAGAGAAAAATAAACTAACAGAGAGAGAAAAAGAGGAAACTCACAGCACATAATTGTCCCTTTGAAGGGAAAGATCACAGCACAACAACCTCTTGTTTGATTAGCCACATGTTGTTTTATCTGAGAATTTATTTAACAGCCTTGAAGAGCCCTGAACAGACAACAGGGGTGCGAACTCCATGACCCGGCTCTCGCCAGATCACATTCCAAGGACTCTGATAACTCAGCTTCACAGAACAATAAAAAAAGGGAAAAACAGCTGTGCAGCCATTTCACTGCTGTTTCCTGCTGTCAGTCCACAACAATAAACTTTTTTTCCCCTTTAGTCCCATAAAAACCTGCTTGTCCTCTGGGCCAGTACTCCTCCTCTCTTTCTTTCTTTGTGCAGAGCCCTTCCCCACTCTCCCTACTTTGGGAAGTAAAATAAACTTTCTTTCTTACAACTATTCTAATCTTTGTGTCAAGAATTCTTTCTCATCCTATACCGTAAGTTCCCATCCTAACATTTGGTGGCCCATATATATGCACACAAACACACACATACACACACACACATATATTAATATAAAAATGTGGTAGATAGATATATGTAGGCATAGATATAGACATAGAAATAGGCACAGATATAAATATAGATATATAATTCACCTTGTCTTATTATTAAAACATCGGATATGTCATGGTGTGTGGCCTTCCCTGAAGTTACACTGACTCCCTTCTGTAGAGTTTCTGCAGGATTCTAATCCACTGGATTCTAATGACTATCTCTTTCCACTGTATTTCACTCCGTGAATAATTACTTCTGACTATTAAAGGAGCCCCATCCTGGGCTCCACACCGTGTTCAGGATGAAGGTCAATGTTTATTGTCTGACATTCAAGGCTCTGCAGAGTAAGACCCTGTACAATTCCCTAATTTCTTCTTTGCATTCTAAGTAGAACTTCCTATTAGCCGTACTCTGAACATGTCTCTCCCTGCTCTACCTCCATGCTTTAATCCATGATATTTTGTTCTTGGAGGCACTGTAGTTCAAATCCCATTTGCTTCATTATCCTTTATTTGACACAGCTCACAAATGACATTTTAATAAAACTTTTGACGGAACAACTTGTGCCTTTTATTGTTTAGTCCCCATCAGCTACTAGTACAAGGTTATACCCATATGGGTGGTCGGGATTTTTAATCCTATCAGCAACATTAGCAGTGGGATTTTGTTGGCAAGTATGAATGGTAAACCTTAGAAAAGAAGTTGGAAACAATTTATGCTGAGTCTTAAACGTAGTACTTCAGAAGCACATGGATTGTTCTGCAGGCAGCCAAAGTTTAGCAGAAGTGGAATGACAAGTTCAGAAATGTGGTACAGGAAGTGTGTCCTGGAAAGTAGTGTAGAGAATATATTGGAGCATGAGCAGGAAGAAAGAGACAAGATTAGCAGGAAGGCTAGGGCAAGAGCAATTGTTACGTGCAAATGTGCCCGGAATTAACCTGATGGCACAAGTAGTGAGGGGGAAAACTATATTTTCAAAATATGTTTATGGGGTTTTTATTAGTTTGCTTTATTAATTTACTCATCTTTTTTTCTTTTCTTTTTTCCTTCCAGGTGTACACAAGCACCTGTGCATGTGTGTGCATGAGCTCAGGTACGCATGCGTGTGTGTGGACACTTGTGAGGGACAAAGGAACTTAAGGGGGCCAGGTCAGAGCAGCAGAGAGAGTTTACTCAGGGAGGGGAGCATGGAGAGACCAGTTAGGGTCCCGAAGGGGACCAGAGGCAGAGGAGCTGTGTTTACAAAAAGACATTTCGGACTTAGTCACAGCAATGCTGCTTCCGGCTGGTTAACACAGGACGGACAGAGTCGGGAACACTGGTCTCTTTCCCACTCTCACCTCCCTTTGCCCCAATTCAAGCCAGAGTGCCCCGCTGGTCCCTGGGCTTCCAAGGTCACCACTAGCACAGGACAGAGTGAGGAAAACAATGGCCCCCAAGGAGAATTAGGGTCCTTCTAGAACAAGACACTGAGCAGATTCTTTGTTTTCTTGTTTTAATCAGTCAGACACACACTGTCAGAAAATAAGACATTAGGGACTTTGACAGGGGATAGGAAATCAGCCGCAAAGATGGGGTCCAAGGCCAGTGGCTGGGGGTTAGGGGAGGATTTGGGATTCTGGACCCAAAGGGAGGAGATGGGCTCTTTGCAAGTCTATGGCCTCTGAGGCAGGCCCAGGAGGGAAGGAAGATGTCCTTGTTGTGTGCTGTCCTGGATTCTGCTGTTCTTGGCTCAGGGTCCACCTCAGCAGCAGCCTCCAGAGTGCTGGCTGCTCCCCCCTCCACAGCAGCTGGAGCCCCCCGAGGGCTGGCTGCAGCAGCCAGAGCTCTGGGGTTTGTGGCAGTGGGACCTGCGGCGGCGCCTGTGGTGGCTCAGGCAGCAGCCGCCACCCCCAGAGCTGCAGCAGCTGCCACCCCCAGAGCTGGAGCCACAGGAGCCCCCAGAGCTGGAGCCACAGCAGCCCCCAGAGCTGACGCTGCAGCAGGAAGAGACAGGAGGGCACTTAGGGGGACACTTTGGGGGGCATTTCGGGGCAGAGCACTTGGGAGGGCACTTGGGGGTGCACTTGGGAGGGGGCTGGCACTGCTGCTGGCTCTGCTGGCAGGACATCTCGGGCGTTCAGGAGCTGAGGGAGAGTCAAAGAGCAAGTCAGACCCAGGCACAGAGGCCACCCCTGCCTGTTCGTGTCCTCTCAGCACCATTTCTAGTCCCTTCCTTTTGATGAACTCTTTAAGTTAATATAATCACAAATAATTAATCACTGAAAATTGTGTGGTTTATTATAGTTTGACAAATGTTCTCGTACAATCTTTTTTGAGTCTCACAATTTCTTTCTAAGATAGTCAGGAATTACTATATCTTTTACAAAGAAGGAAACTGAGGGAATAAACCATATAAAAAAAATATCCGACAAGATTAAACATCTAGTAAATGAAGGAGGCAATTTTTCTCATTGTGACAAACAAAACCCTGAAACTTTCCAGTGTAGAAACTTGGGAATATTTTCTTGCAGAAAGAAAATGAAGGATTTCATCTTCTATTAACTTCCTAGGTGCTTTTGTCCTGTGAAAACTTGGGCACGCAGAATTGTAAACGGTCTTGGAGACAGGCTGGTCTCCCTCCCTTTGTTAATGAACAAGCTAAACAACTGTATTTTTTGTGCACAGAGGAAATTGAACTCAGGCACCCTGGCTCTAGGCTGGTTCTCTGCCGTGTTCCCACTCCACAACCTCACAATAACATCTTAGCACGGTGATTCTCAACTTGCTGTGCCTGACTGAAAGAGATCCTCAATTTTAGTTTAAATCTACAGGTATGCAGGTTTCAAAAGCCACAAAGGATCCTCTGCTTGTCTCTACTAGTTGAAAACTACTATCTCCAGCCCATCTTTGCAAGGAGGGTCACGGTTTTGTTCTCAAAGGTGACAGTCCCCTTTGAAGCTATTCTAGTAGAGCATGGTGGCCCCGGCTTCAACCCCCTCTGACCTTAGAGGTCAGTCAGCTGCAGGTTAATGTGGTACAGCACAAAGGCACAGACATCTAACTCTCCTTTGTGTTCCCAGCTGGCCCACTCCCCTGTTCCTGTGCACATCCTCCTTCAGTCTTCCTGAGGCTTCTCTTCCTCTATCTGTGGGGACCCCAGGCCCAGAGGCCCTGCCCAGCCTCCTCTTCTGCTCTGGGCTGAGCCTCCCTCTATGGAAGCCCCTGCTCCTGTTCCCAAAGGCACTTACCTGGTGGCAGGCAGCACTGGGTCTCTCAGCACCTCAGGAGGTGAGTGGATGCAGGTGCTCTGGCCCTGAGCCCTTTTATCCTGGGCTGAGATGTGCCTCCCACTGTGAGACAGGGCCTGGGCATGAGAGGACCCGCCTCCTGACACCCACGTGGGTCCTGTGACAGGAGGTGCCTGGAAGCTCCTCACCTGCCTCCCTCCATGGGGCTCAGGGCAGCTGCTCTCAGCTTGGAATAAGACCACTTAGAAATGGGGATGGGTAGGAAAATGCCCACACCATTTACTGCCTGTTCTCCCTGGATCGTGCCTGCCCTGCTTAGTTTTGGAGCTGACTTCCCCACCTCTCTTTAACTCCCAAATCTTTTTTTTTTTTTTTGAGACAGAGTCTCACTGTGTTGCCCAGGCTAGAGTGCCATGGCGTCAGCCTA